AATTTCCTCATTCACGGCCTTTTCCCCTCCTCATCCAAGATCTCAGTATGGTGTGTACTGTGCTTATTCGGTCGCATCTTGAGTAAAACTCATGAGCTTAGTCATCAGACCTGACACGTGAAGGTTTGGAACCAAACAACCCAGCTCAATCGCTTACTTCTTCATCTAAGCCCACGGGAAGTATTAATTAAATCCCAACTTCCCACACAAAGGCGAAAGTGGCACGTGATAAACCTTAAAAAAACGTGGAAATGGCTTACCGGGATAGATGATATGGTGCGTTATTTCTCTTAAGTTAGTAGTGCGCTAAATATTGGAAGATACATTCAACAATTGCTCAGAACTTGAACGGGTACATAACTTTGATGGGCTAGTCTTGCGGTGTGCAATCAGGTCCTGGACCATCTCTATTTGCATCTCATTTTGCACTTTTCGGTTCACAAGCTGTTTTCTGCAGTTGTATTTAGTTTAGAGACTGTGGTTTGTCGGCCTAGTAGCCGCCAATCAGGCGATTATCGCACCACATGCAAATACCTGCGATGCACTAAGGGCTGTAATAGGCATGCAGTGGCCTACCAACTACGGCCTTTAAAAGCTGCAACACCTGTACTATCTTACTCGTTATTTTCTTATGGCTAAGATCGAGGATCCGAAACTTCAGGCTTATAAAGTTCTCGGTTCAGCGATCGCGTCTCCTTCATGACATAGGCTCAATATATGCACTTTTTATGCCGGAGTTTAACATACAAACAATTAATTCCCTTCGCCAAGACTTGCATGGAGGTAATCTTTCTGTTCCTTAAACGGGGCCACCCGCACTCTTAGTTGTTACGAACGTACGGACGCGCGTCACATCAAAACTTTGTCTGAACGTAATTTTCGGTCTCTCTTGTAGATTCCATTTGAACTTCTGTGCTGTTGTGAAAATGTCTATGATAGTCAGACAGGTAAGTGGCGTTTTCTGGTTTTAACCGACCTTCAGGGCTGCCGTTTTCTCTTCAGTGACGTTCGCTTTCGTCCCATTGGCCAGTTGGTTTGCACAGGCCTTAAAACCCGCCCACCTGCTATTCAAAAAATTTACGATAAGTTGGAGCACCTCGAGACGTCAATAGACCAAGAAGCGACGCCTGGTGCTAATCTGCCCTTCAACGTCGAGAAACCTCGAGTCTTGGCCTTCAAAATAATTCTTTTCATTGGGATTGCTTTCAATTTGCCCTTTTATCTCATCTACCGACATATGCGCAAGAACGCGGCGTCATGAATGTTCGCTGTTTCTTACCGACAACTCAGGTTACAATTTATAATTTGTCATCGCAATGCTTATAGATAAATAGCTTCCATCCACTTTATCATTTGTTTTCCCTCTGGCGACGTTATCCTTTTTGAAAAGGATAACTTATGATAGGTAATGTGACTAGTGTAATGTGCACACAGCTGCCCGAGGCTACGAATACTAAACTCCTTCACTATGCCAAGAGGGGCAATTACAAATGTAAGTAAGCTCGATGATGAGTGTCCGATCCGTATTGTGGCGTGAAGGTTTTTGTTTTGTTGTATTGTGTAACCCTGTGTGATCGAATGCAGTCCAACTGTAGTAGACGTAGGGCGTTGATATCAACCTTGGCGTTAGTAGCGAATATTCAAGTAAAAAGATCCAAAACCGAAGTAGAAAATTGTTCAATGGGGATAACATTTAGCCGTGTGTTAGGTGGTTCTAAACACCTCTGCCACCGCGCAAAGACTTGTGGTACTCTAAATCAGTGTGTCCATACGCGTTGTGCAGGCGGCCTGCCTAAATAAGGAGTGTATCTGCTTAATGCCACTTACTTCAGTGGCTGACTGGTCTTGACTACGCTGATGATATCGCTCTGCTAGCCTCGAACTTTGTTGATCTTCGGCCTGTGGTGTTTTGGGGGAATGGAGTCGCTAATTCGGTTGGTTTATTCATCAACGCTGGGGAAAGCTAAGGCCTTTTCAAGCCGCGTTCCCAACCAGGAGTGCGCGCCCACGAAATTGATGGCAATCAGCTGAAGAAGTAGGTAGTTTAGACTATCTCGGGGTGAGGCTGCTGCCGAATGGGGAGATTAAGGACGGCACCGTCTTCGGAGTCTGTGCTGCCCATGGGGTTTTCACAATCCGGCGCGACATCTCCATCACACCGAAAATCCACGTG